GGAGCGGTGGGAATCATGAAGGCCATTTGTTGTTATGTGAGAGGACATTGGAGTGGCCGCTGGCCCACGGGAGTTCGCTGGGCTTCCCGGTGTCATGACGCCAGGGGTGACAGTCCTGCAATTCTGATTTTTCCGTCTGCACGGTGGCAACGAGGGCTGCCACAGCACCAGACAATCACCTTCTCACCAGTGACCATCCAGAGGCAGGAAGCGAAGAGGGGGTGGGGGGAGGAGGGCAAAAGCCGACCGATTCCGGCCTTCTTCCTCGTATCATTTTGGTCGCTGAGACCCTCGCTTGGCCAGGAAGCTGCCGGCCGATTTCCCTTGCGTTGTTTCTCTGTCCAGAAAGGGACTCGGGGCGTTCTCCACTCACCGCCGAGCCTGATGGGCGCACGACTCCATGCTTTCCACGGCCACAGTGTGGCGGCCTGCGCCCCAGCTCCGTGCCCTGGGCAAGTCTCTTAAGTCCCTGGGCCTCAGTGTCCCCATCTGTAAAATGGGGACGACAGCGGTTTCGAGGGCAGTCACCTGCTTTTTTCTTTTTTTTAAGTGTGCGATTCAGCGTCGCACGCGTGTGCCCTTCCAAGCCGGCCGTTCACCCAGCGTCACGCTTCCAAGGCGCATGCGGAGGGCAGCCCGCGCTGCGTTTCCCGCCTTTCCTGGGCCAACAGCGTACGGCCGCGCCGTCCGTGCCTCCCTCTGCGCGGGGCACGGGCCACTCCCGCCTCTGGCCCGAGCGCCGCGTTGCGAGCACGCACGACCCGCTGCTGCGCGCGCGGGCGTGGCCGTCTCCCTGGCGCGCACGCCGGGCCGCGGGTGGGGACCCTCGGAGGAGCCGCCAACCGCCTCCCAAGGCGGCCGCACGTGTCGCGCTAGCGGCCGGGACGTTTGCTCGGGACGCTCGGGACGGCACCACCGCCTTGCCAGAACGACCCCCGTGAGGACGGGGAGGACACGGAGCCGCGGCAGGGAGGGGCCCAGCGTCCCCCGACGGGAGGGCCAGGAGAGCGTGGCCTGTCCCATCACGGAACGCCGCTGGGCCTCAACAGCGGGGGATCCGTGCGGCAAAGGACTCCCGGGGACGCCGCGCCGGTGAGACGGCCGGCCATGGCAGGGCAGAGGTCGGCCACGGCAGGGCAGAGGTCGGCCAGCCGGGGCAGGGCAGAGGCCGGCCACGGCAGGGCAGAGGTCGGCCACGGCAGGGCAGAGGTCGGCGACGCCCGTGTGCGCCCCCAGCAGGCGGACGTGGGGGGAGGTGGCAGCTGCGGGGCCAGGAGGCGGAGTTGGCGGTCACCAAGCGGGGTTTGGTCTGGGACCCCGTCACCTGGAGACCGGCGGTGGCGGTGGCTGGCGACAACGGGGCGTCCTTAATGTGGCGAACTGCACACCGAAACCCATCGGGCTGCAGATCTTGCGGCGTATGCGTATCTCACCGCAATGAAGACCCGCAGCATCCTTTGTTTCCCACGCCAGCGGCTGCGCTTTAGCTCGGGTCCCCAGCCGCCCACGTGGCGGGAAGCAGAGTCTGCGCCCTCGGGCTCGGGTGAGTGGAGAAGGCCCGAGGTCCCTTTCTGGACAGAGAAACAAGAAGGGAAATCTGCCGGCAGCTCCTGGGAAAGCGAGGTCTCGCGACAAAATGATACAGGAAGAGGGAATCGGTCGCTTTTGCCTCCTCCCCACCCCATCTTCCTTCCTGCCTCTGGATGTCATTGTGTGATGAGGTGATGTCTGGTGCTGTGGCAGCCCTCTTGCCACCGTGAGACGGAAACAAGAATTGCGGACGTGTCACCCCTGCGTCATGACACCGAGGAACCAGCGAACTCCCGTGGGCACGGCCTACCTCCCAATGTCCTCTCACATAAACAACAAATGGCCTTATGATTTCAGCCCCTTGTGAGCCCAGCTCTTTGCTACTTGCAGACAAGTGGATTCCTAACGGATGTGATGCAATCCTGCCTCCACAGACCCGGTGGCGCGGGCTTTGGGACAAGCAGCTCTGACTCCGCCACACCTGCACTTGCGTCCCCGCTCTGCCTGCACAGCTGTGACCGAGTACACTGCTGCACCCCTCTGGGCCCCAGGTCTGCCAACGGCCAGATGAAGACAAGACTGCCACGTTGACGAGAGCCTGGTACACAGTAGGAGGCTAATCAGCGCCGCCGCATGGGAAGCAGGACAAGCCTTTTGCTGGGTAAACAACGCCCAGCCGCAGGACTCTGGGCAGAGCTGGGTGTCCCTGGCCACGTACTCGGTGACCGTGGTGTCTCTGGCCGCGGGGGACGCGGTGGCCTGGGGCGCAGTCGGGGGAGGGGCATGCACCCGGCGTTGATCTGGGGCCTGACTCCCCTCCCCCTCAGACGGCGCCGAGCGTTCCTGGGGCAGGCCCGCAAGTTCCCGCCAGCCGTGGCGCAGGCTTCCAGCTGGAACGAGGCCGCATGCCTCTCCGCTGAGTTCAAGGCTGGCCGCTCCGAGCTGCCGGCGCTCGGGGCCCCTGGAAGGAGCTCGTCACGCAGCCCTGCGGGAGGCTGAATTTGGCAGGAGCACGGAGGGACGGGGAGGCGGGGGCTGGGGCGAGAGCAGCTCGCGAGGCCTCCACGACCCTCGGGATCTCAGAGTGACCCCGCAAGCGACCCCTCCCTGGCTGAGCCGCTCCAGAGTCCCCGATCCAGGACGTGGTGGCGACTCCGATCCCATCTGCCAGGCTGCTCGCGTCTCCCAGCTGTCAGGAAGCCGGCTGTGATCTCGCGGCCGGCCCCCAGATGCCGTGCCGAGACCCGGAGAGACCTGGGGGATCGTGGGGGCCATGGTGATGGCCCCCCGCAAGCGGAAGGTCCCAGGCACCAGCTCTGTCCCGTGCCAGCCCGGATCCCCTCCCCAGGCCGGCCGCCCCCCCACCTGCGGCCTCCAGGGCGGGGGCCAGCACAGGGGCCCTCAAGGGGTCCCACTAAGAGGAGGATGAAGGTGAAAACAAGGGAGACGACGGCAACAGAGGTCGCGGTGCCGTGGCCAGGAGCCCAGCAACGTGGCCGCCTCCAGAGGTCCCGGGGGAGGGACCACGTCCCCCCGACGCCCCCCAGCAGGAACCGGCGCCGCCCACACCCGATCCCGGCAGGGACGCTCCGCTTCCACCCCCGCCCTCCGCAGCCGTGGGAGGACAGCCCTGCGGTCACTCGTCACAGCAGTGGCAGGAAGCTGGTGCACGGTCCAGAGGAGCCTGTCTCCTGCCAGACAGCGCCTCACTCTGCGACCGGCCCTCGCCGCGCCAGCAGACCTCTGCCCCGCACGCCCCTCCCTGGGGACTGGCTGCGTGACGCGGCCACGGGGCCAGGCCGCTCGGCCTTCTCCCTGCAGCGCCAGCACACAAAGGGCCCGGGCAGGCCGACCCAACGCCTGCAGGAAGAGTGCCATACCGACTTACACAAACCCAGACACACACATACTACACACCCGGGGACACACAGCCCGACATGGCCAATCAACACCAACAGACATAACACCAAAGACCAGCTTCCACAACTCCCGCAAGGCAACCGGCACAACCAGCGCCCACACATCATGCACAGCTCCGCCCACACACCACAATTACATAAGTATCACTCAGAACACACACACAGACCACCAGCCAACCACACACATGTCCCCCCCCACACTTTCACCAACACCCCCGCCTCCCACCCCCCATGTCCCCCGCTGCCC